GCCAAAAAAGTGAATTAGAACAAAAACAACTAAAACATGTTCGGAATTTTACTCCTACTCATTATAGTTGGCAGCAGAGTTTAGGAAGTGTGGAAGGAAGAAGGGAAATGTTAATAATTGAAGTTCTAACACCTGAGTTATTAGGGAGTTTAGGAGAACATCCCTTATTTTTTTTGCATCTGCCCCATCCTACTTTAAGATAAAAAGAAGCGGCAACACTAACGAAAGACAAAGGAGAATAATCACTAACCAATCTCCTAATTGAAACTTTTTCTTGTTTAGAACTGTATAAAGAATTCTAAAAAGTAAAGCAAACACAAAAAGAAAAAAGAAAATAAGAGAAAAACGCATAATCCTAAAAAGGTCAGCTCCTCCTTTAATCCCAAACATTTACATTATTCAACAATTTTCCTTAGGTGGAACCTCTTGTAAATATCGCCTTTCTATTGCTTCAGATTGTTCATTAGTTCTTCATCCTAATTTATCCTCTGTTTCTTTTAGTTCATTAGTTAACTTTATGGTAGAGCCTTTACCATTATTAATTGGAGAAAATGCATCTAAGAGTCCACGAGAGACCTGAATCAGACCTTTTTTTTCTTTTACTTGTTCTGAGTAATTTATCCCATAAACTATCATGTTCGCAAAATGTTCACAATTACGATTGGCTAAATCATAGTTATTTTCGCGAAAATTGGCATCTTTTGCTCAGACTATTTGTTTAGCTATTTTTCTGAAAAATTTAAAAGGAATAATTGGATGATAGCGAGTTATTGTCCCATTACCTTTATGATAATTTTCTAAAAAATCACTTCAACTGTGAATCCTCACACCCTTATACTTTTTAGTAAAATGACAAACTAAATCGTTGCCTATATAAATCCCTACGTGCTTGTAATCTCCTTCATCTACCTTAGCAATATCTAATGTTTTAAAATATCTATCAGGTTCTGTTATTTTATGATAGAGGTCTTCTTGAATAACATAAGGACTAGAAATTAAACTATTAAAATACTCGTAATTTTTAGCCTCTGGATGAACTTTTATCATAGGAGTATCCTCAAAACCATTATTTTGTAATTTACTTTTAATCCTCCTTGCCTTATCACTGGCTCCGCTTAAACTACTATAGCCACATTTATATTTAATCGCTGATAATCTTTCACCTATACTTTTTACTGCTGGCTCATAAACCACTATCCAAATATAATAAGGATAAGAGGATGAAGAGTCATAATTAATCACATAACCACAATTACCATTAAAATAAGTTTCGAAGGTTTCTATTTCTTGAATGTTGCTAAAATTATAACCGTAACCGTATCTGTTTCGCAACTTACTTAAACATTTTTGATGATAAGAACAATAGTCCTTATATGAATAATTTGTGCTGGTGTAGCAGGAATTAGCTTTACATGTTGCCATATTTTTTAAATATTTACTTTAAAAATTATTACTTTTGCTAATTTAAAACAGTTTAGCCTCTGTTTCTTTAAGTTGGCAATTTAGTAAGTAATGACCTTACTTGCTTGTCAGAATTTCTTATTTATGACCTCCAAGCCTAATATCTCTCTATCCTTTCCGCCAAAATGGCGTTATATAGTCCTCTTTTCAAGTAGCAGTAATAATTGTTCCGTGGTTGCGTTGAATGTGCTTGCTTGTCATGGCTCGTCTCCATAAAGTTTTGTATATATAGTTTTTATTTTACAAAGTTTTGTTATTTCTCTCGCGGGATATTTTATGATATAAAATTAACCTTATATGCCTGATAAGGACTGATTTAGAGAGACAGAAAAATTAACAACACCGAGAGAAAGAGAACCAAAATATTTTCTCAATACTAAACAAACGGGAGAAGCATTAGAACTTTTAAGCAATTTAGAGAAAGAAAGTGTAGATTTGGTTTTTTTGGATCCGCAATATGAGAAAGTAAGTAATGTGGTTAGTTTAAATTATCCCTTACATCCGCAAAGCGATTACCAAATTATGCGAATATTAGAGCAAATAGAGCGAGTATTAAAACCTTCTCGATTTTGTTTATTGTGAATTAATAAAGCCCTACTGGGAAGTGATAGGATAGCGAATTGAATGCTGAAAACTCCTAACTTAAAAATAGTTGATTGCTTAATCTGATATAAAAAGAATGTGTTAGGATTAGGTTCTTGATTTCGTAGCCAAAGTGAGTTTATTTTTTTATTACAAAAGCACCCGCAAAGTGGGAAATTATTTAAAAATAGAAGTTTTGGTAATGTCTGAGAGGAAAAACAATTATCGCCCCAACAAAAACAACATCCGCATCAGAAACCGAAAGAACTGATAAAAGCACTAATTACCGCTACCACTAATGAAAGAGACTTAATAATTGACCCTTGTGCGGGTTCTTTTGTGGTTTTAGAAGTTTGCCAAGAACTAAAAAGAGAATTTATTGGTTGTGATTTAACTTTTGAGGAAATGGGAGAGTTTTTAAAAGAAAAAGTGGAAAAAAATAAACAATATGCCAACCCTTAATCTCAAAAATATCACCATTAAAAAATTAGAGGATAAGAACTTCAAGCCTTATTATCTGATTGTTAATAATGATAATCAAGATGAAGCCTTTTTTTGCTTTGAAGGAACTGTTAAAAGTGGTGTTGAGATAGTTTAGTTAATAATTATGAAAATATTAAAGAAGTAGAGTTAGAATTTGAGAAAAAAGAGAATAATTTTAAGACTTACCGGAAAGTGATTAGTTTATACACAGAGCAAGAGGGAGAAATTATTGTTTAACTAATGGATAACTTAAAAAAACTGCGAAAGCAAATTATTATTGACTGCTTAATTTTCTTTTTAATGGTTATTTTGCTCCCATTAATTCTGATTTTATTCAAAATACTAATTCCTCCCTCTTGACTACCTTATTTTTTCTGGATTTTAGTGGTTGATGGCTTAATTTTTGGACTACTGGCTTATTTTCATCTTCGCGAATTAAGGCGAATAAAAGTCAAAGGAGAAACTTAAAAATAGGATGGGAATATTAGTAGCAACCTTAAAAGCCTTGAAATTCTCGGTAAAACTACTAGTGGGATTAGTAAGAAAAAAACCACAAAAAAGCGAATTAGCGAAAAGTGTCAAAGAAGTGTGCGAAACTTTGCTCCTACTCACTACTCCTGACAAAAAAGAGGAGGCAAAAAACTTACTAAAAAACAGAAAGAATATTATCAAAAGAAGTTAAGTAAAACCAAAAAATAACTTAATATGACTAAAAAACAACTAAAAGCCATGTCGGGCAACCACCGAATAGTAGCCACCGAAAATAGAGAAGTCATCCACGAATTAAAAGTTAAAGAAAGTTCAAGTAATAGTAATAAGGGTTCTAATTCTCAATCCCAGCAAAATATATCGGCTAATTATCAATTAACAGAAAAACTAAATCAGGGCAATAATAATTTAGGTTAATTATATAGAGTTTTATACTAAAGCCAAAAAAACTTATAATTGCTTCTTGCTTTTCGATTTTTCTTTTCTCATCTC